CAAAGAATGCTGCAAATAACTTTTCTCCCTACACTTTTTACTCTTTCCTGAGGCTAGATTTTTGCTACTAAAATTACTGTATCAAAGGGTTTGAATAAGTTTAAGTCTTTTATAATATCTTGCCAGCTTGCTTTCCAGAAAAGTCATACACATGCACACTTCCATCAGCCTTATAGAAATATTCCTTTCATAATACCTTCCCCCATATTTAATCTTTGTTATTTTGACAGGTGAGAATAGTATCTCAATTTTATTTCTGAGTATTAATACTATTGAATATTTCTCCATATTTGCCATGGCAAACAACTGTTGATTACCAGCATGTGGATTATCCACTACACAGTTTGAAATTAGCAAGTGGGCTTTTTCTTGGCATTCTTTAAATTTTTAATTGTCTTCCTCTTTCATCATCAGCTATCATGTAACCAGGTAATGGAGCTACATTTTTATATTAACACATGCAAACAAAATTCAGAACACAGATCAGCTGCCCAAATGATTTGGGATACTTCACTCTTTTAAAATAGTCAATTCATTGCTCTCTTCTATCATTACTAGCAGAATCATAAGTACATTAATTACTTTAAAAAACTATTTATTTGATCTTATTTCATTAAAGAGGAAGCCAGTTAAAAATCTGCTCCCAGGATTCAGAATCAGAGTGTATTCAACTCTAACAAAACTCTGAGATTCCCGTGGCAAACAAGGTGTCTCTCATATCAACTGAAATGCTCAAGGCACCTGCCTTTCAATTTCCTGTGGTCTTGTGTTTTCAAGATGCTTCTTGAGCGAGTCCACTCAAGAAGAGACTTAGTTGCACCAATCACTGTTCTTCACAGCTCGCTCCCAGCTCCCCAGGCAGACTCGCTCAATGACCCGGATCAGATAAATGAAGAGAAGCGCCACTCCCAGGGCACATTCACCAGTGACTACAGCAAGTATCTGGACGCCAGGCGTGCCCAGGATTTTGTGGAATGGTTGATGACCAGCAAGAGGACCAAGTGAGAGTCTAAACCTAGCCCCAAATTTGCACACAAATGTATTACCTAACTATGTCTAAAATATCTCCTGCCTTTCATTATGTTATCGTGCTCATCAAATAGGGCATATAAGCTCTTTCAGCTTTGATGATTTCAAGGTTGGTGATGCTCTCCTTCATATTATGCCTCTGAAAGTCCCACTTCTCACCCTGAAAATGCCTTACCCACCCTGTAATGAAACGTAGATTTTAAATTATTTTCCCTACTGTGGTCTGAGCAATATTTACTCTCTTACCCATTTTCTATTAAAATTGAAAGCTGACTTTTTTAGACCTGAATGGTTAGGAATCTATTTTTTGACCAAAAGATAACAGCAAATTCAACATTCCCTTGTAGGATTCAAACTCATGACTGCAATCACATTTAAAGTAACCCTAGCCAACTTAATCATGGTAAGGAATGGAAACAGATGCAGTCATTTTCTTGTAGAATACAATCCAAGATACACATTTAAAATTATAACCTAGCTGCACCGCATAAAGAGAGAAGAAGGCAAATAAGAGCACAAGCCCTTCGTAAGGCATACATTTTAATGTTGGATTTTCGTTGACAGTGTTGGGTTTTACGATGCATGTAGGCTACTGAAGGAAATCTTCCACAAGGGTTTCACAGAGATGGTGGAATTTCACAATTTCTTTGGAGAGTAGCCCACAGGGGAAGGGAGTTGTGCATACAAAGTAGCTGAAGGAATCTAAGTTATCAGGATAAGGACATAGATTTGCTGAGAGAGAGAGAGGAAGAGAGAGAGAGAGGAAATGAATGAGACAATGAATGAATATGGGTCAGCAGGAAGAATTGGAGAGACAGAGTGGTTTACCAAAAGTTCTTAAAGTGGAGGGCATGACAGGAAAGATGGTTGTCATGGTCAGAGCAGACACTGGGAGAAGTCCCTGTTAGTGACTACAGACATGGCCATTGGTGAAATAAGAGGAATCACAAATTTGAAAAAAAAAAAAAAAAGAAAACAATTATCCTCATTTCTGGAAAGGGAATGCTACAATTTGGTAATCTAATGTAAAATAATCCTCACTCTCAGGCGGTTTCTGTTGTGTGTTTAAGATGAAACCTTCCAGGGGTAATGGATGCAGGAGGGCAGCTGGTCAACCACCTACACCGATCACATTTGAGGGTGATATGGGGTCATCATCTTAGCTTTCCTCACTGCTGTCCCATCACATGTTTCCTTTCATCCATTATCACGTGGTCCTTTTGATGACATTTTGAGATGATCCTTAGCTTTCCCTTGACTCATTTAACTATGTCTGAGCCTGTAAGTATTAACAAACAGCTGCCCTGTCTGCAAGCTGCATAGCACATTGGAGAGTCCACATACACTGAGGCGGAAGTAAATGCAACCGTAATAATCAATGGCACGGAGAAGCAGAAGAGGTGGAAATGGGTGTGCTGAGGGGCCAATGCTCCCCTTAACTGCTATTATCTCTCTCCCATCAACCACCCGTTCAGATACTTCATGAAGTTTCAGGACGAGTCTCCTAACTACCCTCGTCTCCTAAATCTCCCTAAGCCCCTTCAACCCCAAGCTGCCACTACTTATAGGTGCAAACCATATTGCTAGAGAGACAGATCTTCAATGTAACGTTCACATTTCTTTCAGTAATAACATTGCCAAACGTCATGATGAATTTGAGAGACACTCTGAAGGGACCTTTACCAGTGATTTCAGTTCTTATTTGGAAGGCAAAGCTGCCAAGGAATTCATTGCTTGGCTCGTGAAAGGCCTAGAAAGGCAAGAGTAAGTCTGTACACTCTTATTTAACTTTTTTTTTAATGTTTGCATGATGTTGAAAACTTACACTACAGTTATCTATTTATTGATTTGAGTTACAGAAACAATTAGTATAGTCTCGCAAAGTAAGGAAATAACTCCTATTGGTGGGAGACAATCTACAAGAATTTAATATGTTTTATCTGTAGTAGCAAGTATTAATGATAGAGTCAGACAGGTGGTATTTTTATCCCACATTAGAGTTGTGTTATAATTAAGCTATTAATTTGTCAATCCAAGACACTTTTGAGAATAAGGATCTATTGAGAACTACATCAGGATGTAAACTAGAAAAACTAGGGATAAGGAAAAAAGAAATAATGCTGAAAACTTAAAGTTTGATGTTAAGTATTTACATATGGGATCAACATATATTTGTGTTACTGTTTAGCTAATAATCTGATGAAGACTGAAAGGTATTAAACTTAAGATGTTTAATGAAATGACACTCAAAATATAAATATGTGCAAACATCCATATATTTAACAACATCCCCATTTTTTATGGGACTGTCATATAAATAGCCATTAAAGTTTCACAGCTGAAAATGAGACTCAACCCCTTAGATACCTTCTTGGATCTTACCACAACCAAACAGACCCCTGAACCATCTCATTTTCTCTTGGCCATTTTGATTGACATTTGAATTATGAGAAGCAGGAAATTCATGTTCAACTCAATTTTTTGTGAGATTTAAAACAAGCTTACTGAGACTTGGAGAAATCTTAAGACAAAAGGGATTGTGTTATTATTTAGCTAATAACCTGATATTGTCACAGCTTTTTTAAACATTGATGATCCAATTTACAAAATCAGTGGTAAAATAGTCACTGATACTTGAGGATGTTTTATAATATTTTAAAGGGGCACCAAAAAATGCTGCTAATTAAACTAATAAAAAAGAAAATCTAATATAGATTAAAGTTTAATGCCTTACTACTGCATTTTGCAAGGCTGTTCTAATAACCACTAGTTTTACATTTTTCTAAATTTTAAACAAAGTTATAGTCTCAATAATAACTTCTGGGTTGCCAATACACTAAAATCTCTGGAGCAGCTGGACCACTGCACAAGGCAGGGAGTTATACAGGCTGGGTTTCCTGCTCTGCTCCTCACTACCTCCAGATTGTCCATTCTGACATGCACCGTTCATGCAGGTCCCCACAGTCGGCCCTCTGTAAATATGACGTCCTGTTTTCTCAGTGATCCGCACACGTTACCGCTGATGTGCAGTCAGAAAGCCTTTATTTAAAGCCTTTAACCAAATACCGATTTTTATCCCCCTTGTCCTCAGCCTCCCAGAAGCCATTCCTGAAGCGCTCCGCCGCAGACATGCCGAAGGCTCTTTCTCTGATGAGATGAACACAGTTCTTGATAATCTTGCCACCCAGGACTTTATAAACTGGCTGCTGCAAAACAAATATACCGACAGGTGATTGCATTTTAGTGCATTCTGAAAACCATCTAAGCTTTCATACGTTGTATCATACAGCGACAGGGTGTTCCTTGTGTGGGGAGGGGAGTCTTTGCTCCCTTGGTAGATAAGCAAAAGTATGACTCATTGAAGAATACATCGTCATATTTGTTTTAGATAATTACATTTTCACTCATTCACCCACTTACTCCAAAAATATTTCCTAAGTATCAATTAAGGGACAGGGCATTAGGAACACAGATAAGAATAAAACATGGAAATATACATCATTCACATGGTAATGTGACGTTCTATATTGCTATGTATTTTGAATTTTTAGCACAAATAAATTTGGTATTATATACTTAATTTAATAAGGATAGTAATAAAAATCAAAACACCAAAAGTAACCACTTTTATCTTGATGGGTTATAATGGCTTTTTATAACTACTTATATACTTTATATTCTTTGATCAGGGAACTTTAGGATGTCATCTTTGAATGCAAATATTTGAAAAATTCAAAAGACTAAGGGATTCATAAGACAAAAAGATTAATAAACAGCTTTTACCAAAATAAATCTTTAAAATATTTCCCGGATAATTTAAGTACATCATCTGAGTATGATAGCTCTGTTATATGACTGTCTTTTTCTTTTGTCTTTAGGAAATAAGTATGTCACTACTCAAGATCATCTTCATAACGTCACCTACCAGCCACATGTGATGTTTGAAATTTTAAGTTCTGTAAATTTAAGAGGTGTATTCTGAAGCCATGTTGCTTTGCATGCCAATGAATAGATTGTCTTTTAAGGTTGTGTTGCCAAAAGAGTATAAATGGAATAAACCATTGTCAAACTATTGCTAAAATATCAGCTTTAAAATATAAAAGTGCAAAGTCTCTTATTTTCTTCTTATTTTGGATGAAGTACACTAACCTGCTTATAGTTAGCAATGGAATTGGTTTTCTATGATATAATTTGTACATGTAAATTATTCCAATCACAGCATCTCTGCATTAAAATAAGGATTGGGCTGGTAGTCACAGTGGTGAAACTGGAAAGAAAACTTTCTTCTTGAAACTTTTGTCATAAAAATGCTCATCTTTCAATATATCAAAGACATACTTAAATAAAACCTTCAAGCTTCTTTACTGTTGTCTGTTTTCGCTTCTTCCTGCCCCCACTCCTTCCAAACATCTCTTCTTCCTGAGCCTGAAGTCCACAACCCAACTCTGGCACCCAGGCATTGCTTCATGTTGTTAACATTTTGAGCCAACGTTGCAAACTCATGATATTTTATATAAATGTATTGTTTTCTGGCTTCTCTTGAAAAATTAGGACATCAGGCAACATTAGACCCACAAAACAAATCTCTTCTGGAGAGGAATACCAGCTGCCTCCTTTTAAAGAGTCACAGCTCATTATTGTGCCCCCTACACACACACACACACACACACACAAACTGCACACTTATATGTGGTCATATACCCACACCATGTAATGTACACAGTAGGCACTTTCCCCTGGCCCACTTTACTTACGCATCTCACTTGCCTGGCACCTGCTGACATTTAAGTAACCATCATGCCCTGTACCCTATCTCCCCATCCTGCATTGTCCAGTATCCTGCATTGTTAGTATCATGCCAGGCACAATACTAGAGGCTCAATGCACAAAATTCGTGCAAGGATCTCAGCCCCCGCTGCTGCTGTGGCTTCATCTAGAAGGTCGTCTAGAAGGATGTCTGGTCTAATTAGCATATTAGGCTTTTATTATTAGAGATAATCAGCATATAACATTGTTTAAGTTGTACAATGAGCAAATTTTATACATTTATTTATTGCAATATGACTACCACCTTAGTTTTAGCAAACCTATCAGGTCACATAATGATTATTTCTTTAGGGCATGAGAACATTTAAGATCTAGTCTTCTAGCAAATTTTAAGTAAATAATACAGTATTGTGGATTTTAATCGCTATGCTCTGCATTAGACGGCAGAATTTACTCATCTTCTAGTTGCAAGTTTGTACCCTTTGAGAATGTCTCCCCAATTCCTCCACACTTAGGCCCTGGTAACCACCATTCTACTCTCTGGTTCTGTGAGTTTGGCTTTTTAAATTTCACATATAAGCGATATTATACAATATTTGTTATTCTCTGTCTGGCTTATCTCACTAAGCATAATACCCTCAAAGTTATTCACATTGTTGGTAAATGGCAGAATTTCCTTCTTTCTTTTTTTTTTTTTTTTTTTCCTTTAGCACTCTTTTTTTTTATTATTATTATTAGTTAAGGTATTACAAATGTGTCCTCATCCCCCCCATTAACCCCCAACCTCCCCCCCACACACACTCATGCTCCCATCCCCCTGTTGTCCATGTCCATTGGTATGGCTTATATACATGTATACAAGTCCTTCGGTTGATCTCTTCCCCTTACCCCCGCCCTCCCCTACTTTCCTTCTGGGGATTGATAGCCTGATTGCTGTTTCTCAGTCTTTGAGTCTGTCCCTTTTCATCAGTCTATGTTGTTCTCTATAATCCACAAATGAGTGAGATCATGTGGTATTTATCTTTCTCTGACTGGCTTATTTCACTTAGCATAATGCTCTCCAGTTCCATCCATGCTGTTGCAAAAGGCAAGAGTTCCTTTTTTTTTTTTACCGCAGCATAGTATTCCATTGTGTATATGTACCACAGTTTTCTAATCCACTCATCTGCTGATGGGCACTTAGGCTGTTTCCAAATCTTAGCTATGGTGAATTGTGCTGCTATGAACATAGGGGTGCATATATCCTTTCTGATTGGCGTTTCTGGTTTCTTGGGATATATTCCTAGTAGTGGGATCACTGGGTCAAATGGGAGTTCCATTTTTAGTCTTCTGAGGTAGCTCCATACTGTTCTCCACAGTGGCTGCACCAGTCTGCATTCCCACCAGCAGTGCAGAAGGGTTCCTTTTTCTCCACATCCTCTCCAACACTTGTTGTTTGTTGATTTGTTGATGATAGCCATTCTGACAGGTGTGAGATGATAACGCATCGTCGTTTTGATTTGCATCTCTCGTATAATTAGTGACTTTGAGCAGGTTTTCATATGTCTTTCGGCCTTCTGTATGTCCTCTTTCGAAAAGTGTCTATCTAGGTCCGTTGCCCATTTTTTTATTGGATTGTTTATCTTCCTTTTGTTAAGTTTCATGAGATCCCTGTAAATGTTGGAAATTAAACCCTTATCGGTGGTATCATTGGCAAATATGTTCTCCCATGTAGTGGGTCTTCTTGTTGTTTTGTTGATGGTTTCCTTTGCTGTGCAAAAGCTTTTTATTTTGATGTAGTCCCATTTGTTTATTTTCTCTTTAGTTTCCATTGCCCTAGGAGCATTATCAGAGAAGAAATTTCTTCGGCATATGTTTGCGATTTCGCTGCCTGTGGATTCCTCTAGTATTTTTATGGTTTCCCGTCTTACGTTTAAGTCTTTTATCCATTTTGAGTTTATTTTTGTGTATGGTGTGAGTTGGTGATCTAGTTTCATCCTTTTGCATGTATCTGTCCAATTTTCCCAACACCATTTATTGAAAAGACTGTCTTGACTCCATTGTATGTTCTTGCCTCCTTTGTCGAATATTAATTGGGCATAGTGGTTTGGGTTGATTTCTGGGGTCTCTATTCTATTCCATTGATCTATATGTCTGTTCTTGTGCCAGTACCAAGCTGTTTTAAGAACAGTGGCTTTGTAATACAGTTTGATATCTGGTATTGAGATCCCACCTACTTTGTTCTTTCTGAGGATTGTTGCAGCTATTCGGGGTCTTTTTTTATTCCAGATGAATTTTTGGAACGTTCGTTCTAGATCTGTGAAATATGCTGTTGGTAATTTAATGGGGATTGCATTGAATCTATAAATTGCTTTGGGTAGTATGGACATTTTGATGATGTTGATTCTACCAATCCATGAACACGGTATATTCTTCCATCTGTTTATGTCTTCCTCTATCTCTTTTTTCAGTGTCCTGTAGTTTTCAGCATATAAGTCTTTTACCTCCTTAGTTAAGTTTATTCCTAGGTATTTTAATTTTTTTGGTGCAATGGTAAATGGGATTGCTTCTGTAGTTTCACTTTCTGTAAGTTCACTATTGGTGTAAAGAAATGCCATGGATTTCTTAGCATTAATTTTGTATCCTGCTACATTGCCGAATTCATTTATTAAGTCTAATAATTTTTTGATGGAGTCTTTAGGGTTCTGTATGTACAGTATCATGTCATCTGCAAAGAAGGACAGTTTTACTTCTTCTTTTCCAATCTGGATGCCTTTTATTTCTTCTTCGTGTCTGATCGCAATGGCTAGTACTTCCAGTACTATGTTGAACAGGAGTGGTGAGAGGGGGCATCCCTGTCTTGTTCCTGTTTTTAGGGGGAATGGTTTTAGTTTTTGCCCCTTGATTATGATGTTGGCTGTGGGTTTGTCATATATGGCTTTTATTATGTTGAGGTATGATCCCTCAATTCCTATCTTGCTGAGAGTTTTTATCAAGAAAGGGTGTTGGATTTTGTCAAATGCTTTTTCCGCATCAATTGATATGACTATGTGGTTTTTCTCTCTCAATTTGTTTATGTGATGTATCACATTTATTGATTTGCGGATATTGTACCATCCTTGCATCCCTGGGATAAATCCTACTTGGTCATGGTGTATGATCTTTTTGATGTACTGCTGGATCCGATTTGCTAGGATTTTGTTGAGGATTTTGGCATCTATGTTCATGAGGGATATTGGCCTGTAATTCTCTTTCATTGTATTGTCTTTATCTGGTTTTGGGATTAGGGTGATGTTGGCTTCATAGAATGAGCTGGGAAGTGCTCCTTCCTCTTGGATCTTTTGACATAGTCTGAGGAGGATAGGTTTTAGGTCTTCCTTGAATGTTTGGTAAAACTCCCCTGTGAAGCCATCTGGCCCCGGGCTTTTGTTTGCTGGAAGCTTTTTGATTACTGCTTCGATTTCCTCCATAGTTATTGGCCTATTGA